CTGCAACCTCCGCCTCCCGGGCTCAAGCAATTCTCCTCCTTCAGCCTCCCAAGTAGCTGGGATTACAGGCACGTGCCACTGCACCCGGCTAATTTTGAGACCACTGGTCTCAAACTCCTGACCTTGTGATCTGCTCACCTTGGCCTCCCAAAGTGCTGGGATTACAGGAATGAGCCACTGTGCCCGGCCAGGGGGTTTATATATTTTTAACCCCAATATAAAAACATTCTTTGAGAGTTTATCTTTTCTTTACTTACTAATTTACCTTTGTTGTGGACACAATTTCTCAAGCAGCTGGCATGTACCTTACACCAAAACCTTTATTATATAGCCTTCAGTAATCTGTAGCTGTGAAACTCATACGCATTTCTCTGTTGAAGTATTCTCAAAATAATTATACCTGTGTGCCAGCCACCTGCTGTCTGACTTTGCAGTTTCTCTGTTCCAACTTTATTTATTCTGCTTTTTAGAAAACTCCCACTTTCCAGTTTGCAGCTAAGGTAGGAGCTGAGTTCCCTTCTCTGTTAAGTGGTCTTATCAGGCAGTTATGCCACTGCCAAGCAGCACTAAGTGCCTTACTCTCAGATGTTAGCTAGTAGGTAGGGTTGGCAAGGGGAGCCTGGCAGGCTGTGAAGAAGCAGACCCCTGTCTCTCTGGCACGGCCCTCAGGGTCAGGTCTTGCCGCGGGTTCTATGCTATGGCTCCGTGTGACTTTCCTGAATGGAATGCGTTTGTTTTTTTCCAGCTCTGTTATTTCCATGTTCTTCCCACATTCGCTGGCAGCAGCCAGTTGGTTCTGAATGCTGCCCACAAATTGTTAGCTATTTTGCTTCTTGGTCCCTCAATTTGCCCCTTGAATAAGGAACTGATGTGTTTCGGATCCGGGATCATGTTGCTTAGTGAAGCAAATCTAATCCTTGCCAAGGAATGCCTAAAGTTGAAGGCTTGAGTCCAGAAGGAAACAAAATGACAGCAGCAGTACCTGTAATTAACATATATTGCCTGTTTACCATGTGCCAGGCATTATATTAAGCAGGTTGCATGGATTAGCTTAGTTAATCCGCAGCATCCCTTTAAAGTAGGTTCCATTGTTGCCCACGTTTTCTAGATCCAGAGCCGTAGGAAAGTTAAATAACCTGTTCCAGGTTATACACTGAGGGATAGTTCCCAGATTTTGAATGTAAGTAGCTTGATTCAGAGTCCTTGCTTTCAATGCTGTATTCCATTGCCAGGCAATTTTTTGGAGAAAGGGTCTCATCCTGTTGCACAGACTGCAGTGCAGTGGCAGAATCATGGCTCACTGCAGCCTTGCTAGGCTCGAGCGATAGGCCTAGGCTCATGCAATCCTTTTGCCTCAGCCTCCTGAATGACTGGGACTACAGGTACGCACTACCACACCTGGCTATTTTTTTTATTTTTTATAGAGATGAGGTCTCACTGTGTTGTCCAGGCTGGTCTTGAACTCCTGGCCTCCAGCCATTCTCCTGCCTCGAACTCCCGAAACGTTGGAATTACAGGCGTTAGCCACCGTGCCTGGCTCAGAGCTTCACTTCCAATGTCTTCTGGAATCTTAATTCTCACTGAAGAGTAGACAGGAGTGTGTTGTTTTAATCTATTAAAACTTCTCGGTATGTGCCTTCTAAGAACAGATGATATTCATTGCAGTTTTTCCTGAAGAGATAAGATGCATTTCTCTTTAAAATTTGTGTATGTATTTATTATTTATTATTATACATATTTATGGTGTACATTTGATATTTTGCTACATGCATACAACATGTAATGATCAAATCAGGGTAATTAGGATATTCATTAGCCCAAAGATTTATCATTTCCTTGTGTTGGTGACATTTCAAACCTTCTCCTTCAGCCATTTTGAAATATGTAATAAATTGTTGATAACTATAGTCAACAAAAGGCATTATTGCTAGTACAGATACTTCTTGACTTAGGATGGATTATGTCCCAGTAAACCCATTATAAGTTGAAAATATGGTAAGTCCGAAATGAATTTAATACACTCTGTTGTTATTTACCCATGTGGTTATGTGGCTCACTGGGAGCCACAGAATCTCTCTTTCCCATAACGAAGGTCCTGTTGCTGCAGAATGCAAATGAAATTAGAGTGAGTGCCTTGTGAATCAGGGAGGCCTGACTCTATGAATCCCTGTGACCCAGTACTCTCTTGGAAGTGAAAGGGTACAAAAATTTCATAAGTTAACCTTGAAGGCCGCTCTCCTTTCCCCAGTTATATTGTACATGCGATCAATCAGTAGGGAGTGGGTAGAGGTGGAAGATTTCAGCCACAGGCCCTAGATAGTTGTTGCCCTCTGTTATTAAAATAAATAAATTCTGCCTTTTGCATATCATGGCATGCACAGACAGTTGAGATCGGAGGTGATCCATTATCACTTGTAACCCATTTCCAACACACCTGTTTGGAAGTTATTTTTTTCTTTTGAGACAGGGTCTCATTCTGCTGCTGGCACGATCATAGCTCACTGCAACTTCAGTCTCCCAGGATCAAACTATGCTTCCACCTCAGCCTCCTGAGTAGCTAGGACTTACAGGCACATGCTCCCATGCTCAGCTAATCAAAAAAATTTTTTTTTAGTAGAGATGGGGTTTCACCATGTTGCCCAGGTGATCCTGAACTCCTGGATTCAATCAGTCTGCCTGCCTTGGTCTCCCAAAGTGCTGGGATTATAGCTGTTTGGCAGCTCCACTATGGGTATATGCCTCCAAGTGTCTAAGCTTGTTATATTTATGAAACCATTCTGTACACTACAAGGTGCCATTCACATGTAAGATTTTATTAATAATGACTATTAAGATCCAGCAATTTATTCTAGAAAGAGACATTGTGCACCATGGTTTTTGTTTGTTTGCTTGCTTGTTTGTTTTGGGAGCTGTCCTGAGAGGAGCAGGAGCAGACGCTAGACCAGTTGTGGTGTTAAGGTCTTGTATGTGATCTGGCGCAGTAATGAGGAGAAGTGGAAATGCAGGTGGTCAAGGGTTATGTGGTCTAAGACTTCTTATAAAAGACCAAGCAGCTGATGAGATTCTCATTAAATTCTCTACCTTCTTCTCTGCCTATCCCAGTTCTCTCTGTAGTGAAAATCTGCTTTCTTTGTGAAGTCTTTTCCGAACTTTTCTACCTCTTCTATAGGTGAAGGTCATTGGGCATCCTCCGTTCTATTATTATGTCTGGTACTGGCTCCACTGATTGCACTTCCAGTGCTGTATTGTTTTCAGTTCCACACATCTTTTTCCTTATTAGAGTGTGACCTCCTTGAAGTTTAGGCTGTGTCTGATTAATCCTTATAGCTCCAGCCACACCCAGCTCATTTCATCACGTGCCCTCATTAGGCAGGGCTTGAATGCGCTTTGAGTACAGCTGAAACTTGTCTCCCTGTGCTTTTCTCCCATGAATCCTCATTCTAACACCTGAAACAACTTCAAATAAAGTTACTTTTATGCCAGCCATTTATACATCTGAATAACCTGCCAAGTATGGCTCCAAACAGTCTTCATTTCTCTGAGCTAAACGTTTTTACTGTTGAAATTTTGTTTCCCTGGTTTTTTGCTCAGTAAGTACTGTGTACATTTCCTTTACCTCTCTGGTGCATAGAATCTTAGAATTTTAAGATTTGGAGAGGACTAAAGGTCGACTAGTCTAGGCTCTTCATCGAACCAGTATTGCTTCCATACTGATTAAGTAATTGAAACTGAGATATAGACATATTTTGGAACAACACAAATATTTTTAAGTACTTCACTGAGGAAGTTTAGATTTAGTAGATTGTTAAAAGTCCTTCATCTTTCATTCTGCATTAAAATGTATTTGCCAATGAGTATCTTATTGAAAAGGGGAACATTGGAAAGATATGTTTTATGATGCAGTGCCTATATGCTAAGGAAAGATCTTCAGATGCTTTTTTTTTTTTTTTGAGAGACGGGGTCTCTCTTTGTCGCCCAGGCTGGAGTGCAGTGGTGCCATCTTGGCTTACTGCAACCGCCACCTCCCAGGTTCAAGTGATTCTCCTGCCTCAGCCTCCAGGGTAGCTGGGACTATGGGCACGTGCCACCACGCCTGGCTAATTTTTTGAATTTTTAGTAGAGACGGGGTTTCACCATGTTAGCCAGGATGTACTCAATCTCCTGACCTCGTAATCTGCCGGTCTTGGCCTCCCAAAGTGCTGGGATTACAGGTGTGTGCCACTGCGCCCAGCGATCTTCAAATTCTTATAACATTATTAAGAATTTGATGCTAAAGCCAAGCCACCTAGGGTTCAGTCCTGCATCTGCCACGTACTTGTTGTAAATTACTTAACCTTGGGTTAATTACTTAATCTCTGTGTGCCTCAGTTTCTGTATTTATGAACAAGGTTTAATGATAATGTGGCTGTTAGGAGGTTTAAATGAGATAGTACTTCCAAAGCACTAAGAATTATGCCTGGTCCGTAGTAAACATTCGGTATATGGTTGCTGCTGCCACCACCATCACTGCTGCTGTTACTATCACTGAGTTCGACAAGTACCTGGTGAGATGTGAAAACTTCTCATAGAACCTTAGTAAGACGCCATGTACTTATGCTATAAGCTTGTTGCCTTTAAAAATTTTTCTTTTATTTAAGGCAAGCTTCTTGTCTTAATGAGAGGCCCTACATACCACTTTGCACTGAAACATGATTTAACCCAGACCATAACCACATCTGTGGAGTAATGAAGTATTTTGTCATAGGATTTTACCACATAAGCAATTTAAGCAATGGCAGAAGACCCATTAGCTTTTGGAATCTGTTCCTTTGAGACCAACTTGCTAGGAATCCATTTCCTATCTTTTTAAAGAGGGTAAATTAATTTTCCTCATTGACATTCTGTAAACAAAATACTGGCAGCTTATATTTTGTGGAATGTAATGTTTTAAAGTGAATCTAATTTTCTTAGTAAACTGCTTTTAATAATGCATCAGAGTAAACTTTTTCCTCTGTTGTCAGGTTGCTATCAAGATCATAGATAAGACCCAGCTGGATGAAGAAAACTTGAAGAAGATTTTCCGGGAAGTTCAAATCATGAAGATGCTTTGCCATCCCCATATCATCAGGCTCTACCAGGTAGGCTCATTAGTGTATAGCAGGTAGCTGCAGAGAACCCAGGATGTTGTATGTGTGGCTTCCTTTGAAGAAATGTGGGTGGGTGAATATTTTTTGTTTCTATGTTAATCCTACTATCTTTCCCACCCTTCTGTTTGCCCACGCAGCACTTAGTATCCTCAAGTTTCCCCTGGCCATTTGCTAGTAAGTTTTCCTTACCCAAGTAGGTCTTTTTCATTTGTTCTTTAATGTTTGATGCCATTCTTAGCATGAACTGAAAAAAAAAGATTAATTCAGAAGATGAGAATTTATTTTATTTCATTCAGAATTCTAAAGCAAGATGGGAAACCCAAAAAGAAGAGAATTTAGAGAGGTGAAAAGTTAGAGATGAATGTGACATTATTTTTTTACAACATTATTTGAATACTAGTTTCTGTGATCATGTTACAAATTGTGATGGCAAAGGATATTTTCAGTATTGCTTCTTGTATCAATCAGAACCTACCTCTTTTCTATTCTAATAGGCTCCTGACTTAGTTTTCCAAGGTAGTAGTTAATTATTTTGATAATCAAGAGACCAAATCTCTCCAATAGGAGAGATTTCTACTTCAGTTTTTTTTTTGTCTACCCAGGAAACATACATATTTCATGCCATCATCAAAATGAATCCCTAGCCTAACTACAAAAGCAGTAAATCTGATGGCTGGAATTTCAAATGGAATAGGAGGAGAGGACTTTGCCTTAGCGGGCTGGTGGACGAGATATTTTGGGAGAGGTGGGGCTTCAGGATGCTTCTCAAATTGCAGTGTGTTGGCAGCTGAAAACTTTGCCTCTGCATGGGCCCAGCTCTACTTGCTGCTTTCTGCCAGAACAGCCGTCTCTTAGTTCTGAAGGAAGTGGCCACCCACTCGGTTCATTTGCTGCTGTTAGTCTGCAGTAAATGGTTACTGGCCCAGACATAGGACCATGTGTAAGAGTGGAGAAAGTACACCCAAGGCACCATGGGCAAACTTTCATACCCTGTTAATTTTATGGAAAAGGAAACATGTTGTGTGGTTAAAACTATAGCATTAGAGCTCTTCCCTGGAATCAGCTGCTCACATAATGAAATTAGGTCAACAGGAGAAGACCTGTTGAAATTTATCAGCCTAAATTATGTTGAACAACACCTATGTTCTGCCCCACAAGCAAATTTGTGAAAGCTTCCTGGTGTTGCCTGAAGACCTGTATCTGTGAGCTTGCAGGTGACTAACCTCGGCTTCCTTCCTATCCTCATAGACTGAATACATTTCTTGACCTTACACTTTAAAATAAATCATCTTTAAATAATTGTGGGGCTTACCTTTCTCAAGAGGTTGACTTGTAGGTATTACCTTTGTAACTGAATTCTGCACGTTCGTCTTACTCAAGATTAGCCTATGAGAATTTTCAAAGGTCCAGTGCTGGCTTTGAGCATTGGCTTCTTTCAAGCTTTAATTTTGCTTTCTGGCAGCTAGGTTTTAAATTTTTTTAAATTTATTTGTTTATTTATTTTTGAGACAAAGTCTCACTCTGTTGCCTAGGCTGGAGTGCAGTAGCATGATCTCCACTCACTGCAGCCTCCACCTCCTGGGTTCAAGTGACTCTCCTGCCTCAGCCTCCCAAGTAGCTGGGGTGACAGGCATGTGTCACCATGCAGAGCTAATTTTTGTACTTTTAGTAGAGATAGGGTTTCAACATGTTGGCCAGGCTGGTCTTGAACTCCTGACCTCAAGTGATCTGCTCACCTTGGCATCCCAAAGTGCTGGGATTATAGGTGTAAGCCACTTCTTCCAGCTTATTTTTATTTTTTATGGATAGGTTCTCACTCTGTCACACAGGCTGGAGTGTAGTGGGACCAACATGGCTCACTGCAGCCTTTACCACCTGAACTCAAGTGATCCTCGCACTCAGCCTCCTGAGTACCTGGGACTACAACCACCCACCACTCTGGTTGTATTTTTTTTTTTTTTTTTTTTTTTTGATGATTTTGATTTTTAGTAGAGACAAGGTCCCACTATGGTCTGGTCTCGAACTCCTGGGCTCAAGCAATCCTCTCGCCTTGGCCTCCCAAAGTGCTGGGATTACAGGTGTGAGCTGCTGTGCCTGGCCTGTTGGTAATGGGAGATTCTGAGCTGCCAGCGTGAATGGCTTGTGAATTGTCATGATTTGGTATCAGGGTTGTTTTCAGGTCATTCTCCTCAGGTTTATCGAGTGAGCAAAAATGTATAGGAAACAACAGTTTTTGAACTCCTGAAAAGTTTAATAATAAAATAATATTTGCAGTCAATAAAAGGCTTGGAGAGATATACAACTGACATTCGTTTTTTTCTTTCATTTTTTCTAAACAACTGCATATATTTATTTTTTGTCATATGAATTAACATGAGAGAGCTCAGAAGCAACACATGGGCTTATGTTGTCAGCATATATAGAGTTTTTAAAAAGGAAAGAGAAGGAAGAATAAAAAAGAACAACACAGCTATTAGATTAGAAAATTAGTATATACTCATACTATGGGATACTATGAAGCAATTAAAAAGAAGAGACAGATCTGTATAACACATGATACTGTTATATGATATTAATGCAGAAAAAGCTAAAGTGACTAGGAATTAATTAACTGTGAAGTGTACTGAAAGTCTGTAACTGTATTGTTCAGTATGGTAGTCACTAGCCACATGCGGCTATTGAGTAATTAAATGTGGCCAGAGTGACTGAGGAACTGAATTTTTTTTTTTTGAGATGGAGTCTTATTCTGTCACCCAGGCTGGAGTGCAGTGATGCAGTCTCGGCTCACTGCAACCTGTGCTTCCCAGGTTCAAGCAGTTCTCCTGCCTCAGCCTCCTGAGTAGCTGGGATTACAGGCGCCCACAACTGTGACCAGCTAATTTTTGTATTTTTGGTAGAGATGGGGTTTCACCACATTGACCAGATTGGTCTCAAACTGCTGATCTCTGGTAATCTGCCTGTCTTGGCCTCCCAAACTGCTGGGACTACAGACATGTGCCACCTTGCCCAGCTGGAACTGAAGTTTTAATTGTATTTAATTTTAATTAATTTAAGTGTAAAACTAAAAGTTAATAATTTTTAAAAAAAATTGTTGAAATAATATTTTGGATATATTGGAGTAAATAAAAAATTATTAGAATTATCTTCAGCTTTTCCTTTTTCCACTGCAGCTTCTAGAGAAGTTAAAACTATATATGCAGTTCATATTATATTTCTATTGGACAGCACTGTTCTAGAAGGATATACAATAAGCAGTGAACCGTGTTCCTCTGGGGATTGAGATGGAGGCGACTGGGAAGAGGAACGCCTTTGGTCTTTTGTTTTATAATGAGCGTATATAGTCATTATTACGTTTAAAAAATGTTTGATAGAAAATGTGAAAAGGAAGAAAGGACTGACAGCATACTACAATGAATTTTAAAAAGGAGCCACATAGGGACCAAGACAAAATACAAATCACATTATGTTACTTTAAAAGGTTGAATATTTTGGCCAGGCGTGGTGGCTCATGCCTGTAATCCTAGCACTTTGGGAGGCTGAGGCAGGAGGATCATGAGGTCAGATTGAGACCAGCCTCACCAACCTGGTGAAACCCCGTCTTTATTAAAAATATGGAAAAAATTAGCTGGGCGTGGTGGTGTGTGCTTGTAATCCCAGATTCCAGGAGGCAGAGGTTGCAGTGAGCTGAGGTCACATCACTGCACTTCAGCCGAGGTGACAGAGACTCCATCTCAAAAAAAAAAAAAAAAAAAAAAAGGGGGTTGAATATTTTAAATTACTGTTCTCTTTTTTTCAAATAAATGGGCAGTGGAAGCGAACGTTGTCATTTCTATTGAACAAAGAAAGCTATGTGTGATTTCTGTGGAGTTCTAATGTGATTCCCTTTTTTTTTTTTTTTTTTTGCTTTAGTTGTTTTTTGTTTTTTGATGGGAGATTTTTGTGCATCAAGTGCTTGATGTTGAATCTGAAGTTTAAGTTTTGGTTCTTGGCACCTTCTTTGCCTGTCAGTTTTATGGAGCTTAAGTGCAGAGACCTCATGGAACATCAAAAGGATCTCTTTCAAGCAATGAATGTTTCCTACTTTTAAGAACTTGGAGGAGTACCTATTTTCCCCTTCTTAATAACATTTATATTTGTTTCCTTCAAAATGTTTTAAATTTCCTTTAATCCATAGTGATTATTAATATTTCAAATGAGAAAAGAGGAGTCATTAGTTTCTCTTCCTGTATCAGCCTGTCATTTGTGTCACTGTCTGTCACTTTCCTGCCTTTGCACCAGGTTATGGAGACAGAACGGATGATTTATCTGGTGACAGAATATGCTAGTGGAGGGGAAATATTTGGTAAGTACATTTATTGCATTCTCTAAGCAGCTATTGAGCACACTATGGCAAACCTAAAATAGCCGTCCAGTGCCTTTGTCCCTTGAACAGCTGTCGCTTGGTGCTGTTCTTCAGTCCTGTCATTTTCTATCAACAACAAAGTAATTTTAATTTGTTTCAATTAATCTAGTAAAATCCCTTCAACACATTTGTTTCCTTAGCAAAGGTGTTTTGTTTATTTCAGTCAGGTGCTGACAGTTGAGATGAAAGATTTCCACAAACAAGCATCCTTTCTGAACATGGGACTGAGGGTCTTTCTTGTTAGCAGGTTCTGACTGGGGTTACCAAGTGTGACAGAACTCCTACACGTGTGCGGGCCCTGTTGCGTGAGAAAGAGCCACTTGGAGCACACAATCTCCCCTGAATGAATTCCTTAAAGTTTGTTAAACTGTAACATGTAACGGTGTTATTTACCATGTGTTCATAGTTCCCCTCAATGATTCTTGTAGTTTTGGGGGTTCTGCCTTCAGTGGCTATGTTTTCCTCTCACACTTAGCTTTAGCACAATGTCAAATGAGCAGGAGACTTTGTTACTGACAAATCTGATTTTTAAGGTGGTAAAAACTGACAAGAAGTTTTTTAATAACAGTGATAAATGGAGCCAAGTAGAGTTAAAGGGTAAATTTCCAATTCTAAATTGATGTGTCTTTCATTTTTTCTTTTGGCGATTAACTACAGAGAAAAGTTTCTTTATATACATTAGGTTTGCCTAATTTCTTTATTTTTAAACAATTTATAAATATGAACACTTATTAATTTAAATTAAAAAAAAATTAAACATTTGCTCCTTCCTGCGTGCCAATGAAATGTATTTAAAAGCATGGAATCACTTGTAAAATGGAATCATCTTATTAATGACTAGTCACTTGTGGCTGTATGGGTGTGTGTGTGTGTGTGCACGCGTGCATTTTAAAGTTTCCCTAGAGATCTAATTTTTTTTGTGTCACAGTATCTTTAGGATAAGTGCTAGTCCTTTTTAAAAGAGGTATCATTATTTCTTAGTTGGCTTTGTATATATGATTAGTTTATGTTAAAGCTAATGTCGATAGAATAATTTATAATCAATATAGTATGGGAGGGGATACTTTATTTCAAAGAAATGAAACCATAACAAAATTGGAAGAATAACGTTGTTTGTCAAGAAGGTATGGTAGCCCTTCTTTATGTAGGATAATTCTATGCCAATCATGTTCCTTGGACATACTGACTCAATTAAGATACTGGTTTTCCCTTCTGTGGAGAAATCTTGGAAATAGTCAGGGAAATCAACATTATTACTTTCAAGATGAGAATGGAAACTGCAAAACTCTGTATAGTCGAGAACAGTATGCAGATGGCAGTTTGGTTAACTTTTGGAGGTCAAGGTAGTCTTCCTGGAGGGCACAGTTATATGGAAATATATGAACCAGAAAGTAAAAGCATGAGAGAGAATATTTGGAGAGAGAGTAATAGCAGTCATGTTATTGGGAGACTATACTGCGGTCTGACATTCCAGGCACATATTATGATAACCCTGCCTTAGTTAAGATCACAAATGTATACAAAGGCAAATAGAAAACTTTTATTATCTAGATAATGCTTTTTCTTTGGAAAAGGTGTTGCTCTGTTGCCCAGGCTGGAATGCAGTAGTGCAATCTTAGCTTACTGCAGCCTCAAACTCCTGGGCTGAAGCAATCCTCATGCCGCAGCCTGCTGAGTAGCTGAGACTATACGTATGTGCTGCCACACCTGGCTAATTTCTAAATTTTAAGTAGAGATTGGGAGGCGGTCTCACTACGTTGCTCAGGCTGGAAGACACATTTTTACAAGTTTTATTCTATAAAAAAAATCAAACATTTCCCAAGTTCTTGAGCTGCCTGTTAGATATTTTATCTCATAGAAAGACATTTATTGGTGGAGAAACAATGGTAATTTGGGGAGAAAAAAGATCATGTCATGACATATATGTCATATATATTATATATATGTTATATTTTTATTGCACTTTAGGTTCTGGGGTACATGTGCAGAACATGCAGGATTGTTGCATAGATACCTACGTGGCATCTATATGTGGTTTGCTGCCTCCACCCCGCCGTCACCTATATCTGGCATTTCTCCCCATGTTATCCCTCCCCAACCTCCCTACCCTCCACTGTCTCTCCCCTATTCCCCTTTAACAGACCCCAGTATGTGATGCTCCTCTCCCTATGTCCATGTGTTCTCATTGTTCAACACCTGCCTATGAGTGAGAACATTTGGTATTTGATTTTCTGTTCTTGTGTCAGTTTGCTGAGAATGATGGTTTCCAGATTGATCCATGTCCCTACAAGGGACACAAACTCACCATTTTATAATGGCTGTATAGTATTCCATGATGTATATGTGCCACATTTTCCTTGTCTGGTCTGTCATTGATGGGCATTAGGGTTGGTTCCAGGTCTTTGCTATTGTAAACAGTGCTGCAATGAACATACGTGTGCATGTGTCTTTATAATAGAATGATTTATAATCCTTTGGATATATACCCAGTAATGGGATTGCTGGGTCAAATGGAATTTCTATTTTTAGGTCCTTGAGGAATCGCCACACTGTCTTCCACAATGGTTGAACTAATTTACACTCCCACCAACAGTGTAAAAGTGTTCCTATTTCTCCACATCCTCGCCAGCATCTGTTGTCTCCAGATATTTTAATGATCACCATTCTTACTGGCGTGAGATGGTATCTCAGTGTGGTTTTGATTTGCATTTCTCTAATGACCAGTGATGATGAGCATTTTTTCATATGTTTGTTGGCCTCATAAATATCTTCTTTTGAAAAGTGTCTGTTCATATCCTTCACCCACTTTTGAATGGTTTTGTTTGTTTTTTTCTTGTAAATCTGTTTTAGTACTTTGTAGATTCTGGATATTAGCCCTTTGTCAGATGGGTAGATTGCAAAATTTTTTTCCCATTCTGTTGGTTGCCGGATCACTCTAATGATTGTTTCTTTTGCTGTGCAGAAGCTCTGGAGTTTAATTATGTCCCATTTGTCTATTTTGGCTTTTGTTGCCAATGCTTTTGGAGTTTTAGTCATGAAGTTCTTGCCTATGCCTATGTCCTGAATGGTTTTGCCTAGGTTTTCTTCTAGGGTTTTTATGGTATTAGGTCTTATGTTTAAGGCTTTAATCCATCTGGAGTTAATTTTAGTGTAAGGTGTCAGGAAGGGGTCCAATTTCTGCTTTCTGCACATGGCTAGCCAGTTTTCCTAACACCATTTATTAAACAGGGAATCCTTTCCCTATTGCTTGTTTTTGCCAGATTTATCAAAGATCATATGGTTTTAGATGTGTGGCGTTGCCTCCGAGGGCTCTGTTCTATTCCATTGGTCTATATCTCTGTTTTGGTACCAGTAACATGTTTTGATTACTGTAGCCTTATAGTATAGTTCAAAGTTAGGTAGCATGATGCATCCAGCTTTGTTCTTTTTGCTTAGACTTGTCTTGGCTATGCAGGCTCTCCTTTGGTTCCATATGAAGTTTAAGGTGGTTTTTTCCAGTTCTGTGAAGAGGGTCATAGGTAGCTTGATGGGTATATTGTTGAATCTATAAATTACTTTGGGTAGTATGGCCATTTTCACAATATTGATTCTTCCTAACCATGAACATGGAATATTTTTCCATCTGTTTGTGTCCTCCCTTATTTCCTTGAGCAGTGGTTTATAGTTCTCCTTGAAGAGGTCCTTTACATCCTTTGTTAGTTGTATTCCTAGGTATTTTATTCTCTTTGTAGCAATTGTGAATGGCAGTTTGTTCTTGATTTGGCTCTCTTTAAGTGTGTTATTGGTGTGTAGGAATGCTTATGATTTCTGCACATTGATTTTGTATCCTGAGACTTTGCTGAAGTTGCTTATCAGTTTCAGGAGATTTTGAGCTGGAGACAAAGGGGTCTTCTAAATATAGAATCATGTTGTCCTCATATAGAGATAATTTGACTTCCTCCTTTCCTAATTGAATACCCTTTATTTCTTTTTCTTACCTCATTGTTCTGGCTAGAACTTCCAATACTACATTGAATAGGAGTGGTAAGAGAGGACATCCTTGTCTAGTGCCAGATTTCAAAGGGAATGCTTCCACCCATTCAGTATGATATTGGCTGTGGGTTTGTCATAAACAGGTTTTATTATTTTGAGATATGTTCCATCGATACCTAGTTTACTGAGAGTTTTTAGCATAAAGGGCTGTTGAATATTGTTGAAGGCCTTCTCTGCATCTATTGAGATAATCATGTGGTTTTTGTCTTTGGTTCTGTATATGTGGTGGATTACGTTTATAGACTTGTGTATGTTGAAACAACCTTGCATCCCTGGGATGAAGCCTACTTGATTGTGATGGATAAGCTTTTTTATATGCTGTTGCAGTCAGTTTGCCAGGATTTTATTGAAGATTTTTGCATCTATGTTCATCATGGATATTGGCCTGAAGTTTTCTTTTTTAGTTGAGTCTCTGCCAGTTTTGGTATCAGGATGGTGTTGGTCTCATAAAATGATTTGGGAAGAAGTACCTCGTTTTGGATTGTTTGGAATAGTTTCAGAAGGAGTGGTACCAGCTCCTCTTTGTGGGTCTGGTAGAATTCGGCTGTGAACCCATCTGGACCTGGGCTTTTTATGGTTGGTAGGTTCTTAATTGCTGCCTCAAGTTCAGCCCTTGTTTTTGGTCTATTCAGGGTTTTGACTTCTTCCTGATTTAGGCTTGGGAGGGTACAAGTGTCCAGGAATTATCCATTTCTTCCAGGTTTACTGGTTTATGTGCATAGAGTTAGTTTTTTGTAGTAATCTCTGATGGTAGTTTATATTTCTGTATTGGTGGTGATATCCCCTTTATCGTTCTTTATTGCCTCTTTCATTCTTCTTTCTTTTCTTTTTTATTAATCTGGCTAGCGGTCTGTATTTTGTTGATCTTTTCAAAAAACCAGCTCCTGGATTTATTGATTTTTTTTGAA